CTCGCATCCCATCTTGACTTTGGATGCAGGCTCCACTGCCAGTGCCAGCTCCCTGCCCGTTCAGCCCCTGAGTGGCAGCAATGGTGACGCGGAAGGAGGGTGGGTTCAGAGCTCGTCTTCTGCTTTCAGCCCAGCCCGACTGGGATCATTGTGAGCATCGGTGTGGGAGAGTGCATCAGAAAAAAAAAAAGAGTGGAAAAAAGGAGTGCTCAGTCTCTGGCTCTTGTTCTCTCAGTCCCCCTTTGTTGTTCTCCTCTCCAACCAATACATGAATTTTAAAGATTGAGAAATAGAAGAATTAGGGGCTGGTGTTGTGATTTAACAGGCTAACCCTCTGCCTGGGGAGCCTGCCAGCATCCCATAGGGACATCAGTTTCCTGTCCCGCTGCTCCAATTTTGACTCAACTCAGCTCCCTGTCGATGGCCTGGGAAAGCAGTGGAGAATGACTCCAGACCTTGGGTCCCTGTATTCCCGTGGGAGACCACGTGGAAGCTCCTGCCCCTGGCTTCAGACCAACTCAGCTCTGCTTGTTGAGAAGATCTCTCTCTCTCTCTGTGAATCAGTGGATACATTTCTCTCTCTCTCTCTCTCTCTTTCCCTTTCAAATAAAAATAAGTACATCTATTTTTAAAAAAAATTTTTATTGGAAAGTCAGATACTCAGAGAGGAGGACAGAGTAGATCCTGATTCCCTCCCCAAGTGGCCACAGTGGTCAGAGCTGAGCCAATCCGAAGCCTGAGCCACTTCCTCTTCTTTTCCCCCCCAATTACATCATTGACAATGTTTTGTCCAACAACTAAATCAAACCCTTCCCCCTTCCTTTCTCTCATTCTTTAATATTATCCATCCTTCAACTACCCCTTCACATTTATAATAATCTTCACAACCCTTATCTTCAAACCACTTACCATATACTTCCTACCAAACCCCCCCCCCCCCCTCCTCCCCTCCTCTACCAAATCCCCATCCACACTACATCCATAACAAACCCCCAACAAAATACAACTCACCCCAACACCCCCCCCCCCACCCCCCACCCCAACCCACCCCCATAAAAACAAAACCCAACCTAACTCCCCTCCCCCCCCACATTTCCCTCCCCCCCCCCCCCCCATCCCCCCCCCCCCACCTCCCCCCCCCTATCACCCCCCTCCCCCCCCCCCCACCCCCCCCCACCCCCCCCACCCCCCCCCCCCCCCCCCCCCCCCCCCCCCCCCCCCTCCCCCCCCCCCCCCCCCCGCCCCCCCCCCCCCCCCCCCCCCCCCCCCCGCTGAAGTCCTTGCCTTGCACGTGTCGGCATCCCATTTGGGAACCAGTTGTGTCCCAGCTGCTCCACTTCCCTTCTAGTTCCCTGCTTGTGGCCTGGGAAAGCACTCGAGTATGGCCCAAAGCCTTGGGACCCTGTACCTGTGTGGGAGACCCAGAGACTTGGTAGAAGCTCCTGGTTCCTGGCTTCCTATTGGCTCAGCTCTGAGCACTATGGCCATTTGGAAAGCGAAGCAGCGAATTGAGTATCTTTCTCTGTCTCTCCTTCTCTTTTTAAATCTGACTTTCCAATTTAAAAATAAATCTTTTTTTTTAAAAAAGAGAGGTACATGCTGAAGAATTTAAAGTATAATGAAACCTGCTTTGAAATAAGTCAGGAGAAATACACAGATAAATAGATCAAAGACAACACCATAATACCAATTGTTAACTGGATGAATATGATATACAGTAATATTCATTATACTATCATTTCAACATTTTTGTATGTTTCTAAATTTTCACTTAAAAAAAACTTAGAGGAAATATGTGGAGGACAGACATGTACTGAGGCAAATATAATAAATATTAATGAAAATCCAGTTAGTGGATAATGGAGTGTTCACTTTAAAATTCTTTAAAATTTCCTGTTGAACATTTTTCACATTAAAATGTGAGGATAAAGACTTGAATGGGGGGCCCAGCGGCGTGGCCTAGTGGCTAAAGTCCTCGCCTTGAACGCGCCAGGATCCCATTTGGGCGCTGGTTCTAATCCCGGCACTTCTCATCCAGCTCCCTGCTTGTGGCCCGGGAAAGCAGTCGAGGATGGTCCAAAGCCTTGGGACCCTGCACCCACATGGGAGACCCGGAACAAGTTCCTGGATCCTGGCTTCGGATCAGCATAGCATCGGCCGTTGTGGCTACTTGGGGAGTGAATCATTGGATGGAAGATCTTCCTCTCTTTGTCTCCTCCTCTGTATATCTGACTTTCCAATAAATAAATAAATCTTTAAAAAAAAAAAAAAGAAGACTTGAATGGGGCCTGGGTTGATAGCATAGTGGTTGAGGTCCTCACCTTGAACCCGCCAGAATCCATGTAGGCTGTGGTTCTGGTCCCCACTGCCCTGCTTCCCACCCAGCTCCCTGCGTGTGGCCTGGGAAAGCAATGGAGGACGGCCCAAAGCCTTGGGACCCTGCACCTGCGTGGGAGACCTGGAGGAAGCTCCTGGTTCTTGGTTTCTGATTGGCTCAGCTCTGGCTGTTGCAGCTGCTTGGGGAGTGAATCATCGGACTGAGGATCTTGCTCTCTGTCGCTCCTCCTCTCTGTATATCTGCTTTTCCAATAAAGATGGATAAGTCTTTAAAAAAAAAAAAAAAGACTTGAATGGAGGAGCTGGCACATAGATCAATTGTCTAATCCTTAACCTGCACGCAGTGGCATCCCATATTGGCACCAGTTCATTTCCCAGCTGCTTCACTTCCCATTCAGCTTCCTGTCTGTGGCCCGGGAAAGCAATGAAGGACGACCCAAAGCCTTGGACCCCTGCATCTCTGAGTGATACACGGAAGAGGCTCCTGGCTCCTAGCTTTCTTTAGATAGGTCGGGCTCGGGCCATTGCAGCCATTTGGGGAGTGAGGCAGCAGATGGAAGATCTTTCTGTCTCCTTCTCTCTAGGAATCTACCTTTCAAACAATCACAAACACTTGAATGGAGCCAGGCATTCAGCCAGCAGTTTAAGATGCCCATGCCTCACATCAGAGGGCTGTATCCAGCGCTGGCTGCTGAATCCAGGTGCCTGACAATGCAAATCATGGGAGGCAGTGATAATGGAGGAGTAATTAGGGTCCTTATCATCTGTGTGGGAGACCTGAGTAAGTTTCTAGTTACGGGCTTTGCCTTTGGCCCAGCCCCAGCCATCAGACACTCCCTTCAATAATCATATACATATATATATATATATATTTAAACTTAAAGGAAAAAAAATCACAGATTAGTGTTCTCCCAACTCATTTTATTGGACTTTACTTTTTTTTTCTTTTATTGGTAGCATTTATTGCCATGAGTACATGGATCATTCAAAAGGTTCATGAGAAATGGAATTAAGTGATAGATGCAAAAAATTTGAAAGCCATATAAATTTTTGCATAACACATAATTTCATAAACTTTTTGAAGACTGCTTATATATATGAATTTCAAAATTTTAAAGATTTATTCTGGGCCCGGCGTGGTAGCCTAGCAGCTAAAGTCCTTGCCTTGTACATGCTGGGATCCCACTTGGAGTGCAGGTGGGGTAGAGCGGGGGCCCGTCATGGCTCCTGGGCTGAGGCCCAGAGGCAAAGAAGAAGCGGGTGCCTAGGCAGAGGCTGGGTGCTGCGAGGATGCTCCTGGCTTCGGATCGGCACAGCTCTGGCCATTGCAACCACTTGGGGAGTGAATCAACAGACGGAAGATCTTCCTCTCTGTCTCTCCTCCTCTCTGTATATCTGACTTTGTAATAAAAATAAATGAAAAAACAAATCTTAAAAAAAAAGATTTATTCTTACTTGAAAGGCAGAATTAGAGGGGAGAGAGAAAGAGATGGATCTACTATCTTCTGGTTCACTCCCCAAGTGGCCACAATGGTCAGAGCTGTCAGTCTGTAGCCAGGGGTTTCTTCTGGATGTTGGTTGCTGTGAGCTAAGCTCTAAGGTCTGCAGGAGGATTTACAATAGATGATTTGCGCTGCAGTGGCTTAAAGCCTGACTTCTGGACTCAGGTGGCGAGGATTTGCATCCCCATTCTGTGGCTTCAAGCTGTGTCACCTAACTATATTCACATCTCTGGACCTCAGCTTGTCACAGGTAAAATCAAGACTATATATTATTGTCGCTTTGGGAGAGGTTCTGCTTGCGAAGCGCTTGGGCTTTGTGAAGATTCAATGATTGGTAGCTAAAGACTAAAGAATAATATAGTCTTCTTCATATGTCATTATTGCTCTGCCCCCCCCCCCAACAGGCTGAGCCAGGATAGGGGGTATCGGTGCACAGTTCTTTCGCTTCAGTGTCGTTTTGCCTTTCTTTTCATCCTGGACTCCGCTTAGCATCTCTATGCTCTTTCCATCATCGTAACCATGAGGATGGAGGCAGAGGAGAAAGGGGTTTGTGGACCAGGGAAAAGATTTGAGTTTTCTATTACTTGGGGTCTCTGTGTGGAGTTCCTCCCTGGAATTGGGAGAAGGTCTAGCATGAGGTCACATTCCGTTTTGGGCCTAGGTTGAGAGAACAATAGTCCTGAAAAGGAAGCAATGACCAGAGATCCAGCCCCCTGGGCTCCCCCCTCTTTCTTGATTCCCTGCAGGACAGAACACTCCCCCTCCCCAGGTTGGCTCCACAGTCCCCTAGGTCTGTTCTGCTTCCTTCTTCACTTCTGGTGGCCCCAGCTCAACGCAAGCCCGGGGACCCATTGAGCATCTCGCAGCAACTCCCACTTGGAGTGGGGGTGGGGTGGAGCGGGCCGAGGACGGTTTCAATCTTAGGGGAACGAGGCCCCAGACCCTGTGCCTGAGCTGTCCCTCGGCCAGAGTCCCCTGACTCCACCCTAGGGTCGGCAATACTCCAAAGATCCGGGGAGCTGGGGTTGAGCCTGGGGGCGCTACAGCCTCTGTTCCTTTAAGGAGCCGCTGTTTAGCATTCCTGCCGCTGCTGCTGCCGCTGCCTGACTCTGCACGCTGATTGGCTGGAGTCAACTGAGAAGGGAGCCAGGGAGAGATGCTCTAGACTCCACTCAGATCCATCCTGGGGACCAGAGCAGAAGCGGTCCTCGCAGCACCTAGCCTCTGCCAGGGCTCCCGCTTCTTCTTAGCCGCTGGGCCTCGGCCCAGGAGCCACGACGGGCGACACGGAGCCGCCAGTGCTGGAGGGGGAGCCTTGGGTGCGGGGCAGCGTGGGGGCAGAAGCCCCGGGACGCCCGCCCGGCCCCAGGCCCCGCTCCGCCCGGGCGCCCCAACGGGTGCCCCCCCCTTCGTGGTCCGAGCAGTGTGAGTGTGCCCGGGAGCCCAGTGGTGGCGGCGGCGGCGTGGAAACCGGCGTGGGCTGGGGGGTCCGAGCTGCGGGGGGCAGTGCTATGCACAAGCACCAGCACTGCTGCAAGTGCCCCGAGTGCTATGAGGTGACCCGCCTGGCCGCCCTGCGGCGCCTCGAGCCTCCGGGCTACGGGGACTGGCAGGTGCCCGACCCCTACGGGCCAGCTGGGGGCAATGGGGCCAGCACCGGTTATGGAGGCTACAGCTCCCAGACCCTGCCCTCGCAGGCGGGGGCCACCCCCACCCCTCGCACCAAGGCCAAGCTCATCCCCACCGGTCGGGATGTGGGGCCAGTGCCCCCTAAACCAGTCCCGGGCAAGAGCACCCCCAAACTCAACGGCAGTGGCCCCGGCTGGTGGCCTGAGTGCACCTGTACCAACCGGGACTGGTATGAGCAGGTATGGATCAACGGAGGGGAGGGGGCTGGTGGGGGCAACCCAGGAGGGGCTGGAGACTGGGGGGCTGGAGACCTGGGGGTGCAGCTGGGATTGGTGGGGGCTCCAATCCCTGTGAACCCTGAGCCCTAGCATTGCAGCAGGGCACAGAGAGGTGGTGGGAAATGTGTGGCTCCCTGTGTATATTTGTTTGGGGAAAGGGGGTCTCTATTTAGAGGGGATTGGGAGGAGCTGTGTGTGTCAAGGGGTAAAGGTATGGCGGAGGGACCCATTTTCCTGCATGGAGAATTGGGTTTGTCTTAGTGCGGGGGTTTGGCAGTGTCTCTGTGTCTGGCAGGGGGCGGGAGGTTTCTGCAGGGGCTGTGGATGGTGTGTGTCTCCACAGGAGGGGAGGAGGGGGCATGGTGCTGTGAGTGTGGGGGGGACATGTGTGTGTGTGTGTGTGTGTGTGTGTGTGTGTGCATGTCGGGGTGTGTGGAGGAAGGCTCCTGTGAACCCATGTAGAGGCACCCATGTGCCCGGGGTTGTTGAGCTTCATCGCTCGATGCCATGAGTCCCTCTCCGTCCCAGTCCCTTTGTGTGTGAATGTGCGCACGGACGTGTGGAGCTGTCTCCCTCAACCTGGAGGTATCTATGTAGACGGGGCTGCAGGGAGAGCTGTGTTTGCCTGTGTGTGTGTGTGTGTGTGGCTACATGTCTATGTGTGTGAGCATGCAGCTGCCAGAGTGTGCATGTATGTGCCTGTGTGTGTGTGTGTGTGTGTGTGTGTGTGTGTGTGTGTGTGTGTGGTGTCCCTGGTGAGAAGTGCTTGACAGGCAAGGGAGGAAGGAAGGAGGCAAGAGACACGTCCCAAGCTAGGCTGAGAGGCTGCTGAGAAGGATGGATGCTTTTGTCCAAGCAGCTCTGAAGTGTATGTGCTGGGGGGGGGGAGTGGGTGAAGGGGTACGGGGGGGGGGCACTGAAGCAAGCTCCCTTGCTTCAGGAACAGGCATGGTGCCTGGAAGCAGACAAGAGGCAGCTGCTCGGGTGCAGGGACTGTTCCCAGTGGGGCATGTCCCCTTTGGCCACCCCCCAGATGTGGGAGAGCTCAGCCCCAGTCCTGACTTGGCACAGATTGAGAGCCCCTGGGTGCCGGACACAACTCCGGCTTCCACTCCCAGCTTAAACTGGCAGCTTAGAAAATGGAAGGAGCATCTGTGGGGAGAAGCAGCAAAATGGAGGCTGGGCCGGCAGAGCTAGGTCCCTGGCACGCATGGCGGAGGGCCGGTCTGCTAAGGCAGCTCTGCAGCCCCCAGGGTGGGGGAGAGGAGGAGGAGGAGACTTCGCTGTGGAGAGCAGGTGCTGAGTGGCCCAAGCTGGTGACCATTCTGGTTGCCTCTGTCCTCTGGGGATCGGATGTGTTCTTGCTCCAAAGCTAAGGTGGGGACTTGCTGGAGAGAGGAGCCCTGGCTCCTTGCCTTCTGTTAGCCACACTCACGGCTTCCTTCATCCCTTAGCTCTGGCCCCTTGCCCTCTTCCAGCATGTCCCCCTTCTCACCTCTGTCCTGGGGCTCGCTCCTTGCCAACACCTTCTCATACTTGTCCTGCCCAGCCGAGAGGCGAGTGCCAATTTGAGGGCTGGGCCAGTTGGCCAAGGTTTCTTTGCCAGGGCTGATCCCTAGATGGCTCCTGGCCATGGGAGCAAGCTCTTTGAGTGGAAGTGGGGTGGAGGCATGAGGATGGAGGTGCTGGAACTGGGCGCCTCTGGGTAGCACCCAGGCTGGATGTGAGGCATGGCTTATCACACACGGAGCAGCTGATGCATTCAGGAGCTATAGGGGTGTTCTTTTGCTTGGGGGGGGGGTTCTGTTGCAAGCTACTCCAGGCAGCTGTGTTGGTTTTGTGTCCCTGAAGAACCACAGACGGGTTCTTCCTCCCGGGAGCAGGGCCTGGCTGAAGCTATAGCTGGAATCTGCCCACCAGCTCCTAAGGCTTGAGGGCATCAAGTCCCCGGGGTTAGACCCAGAAATGGTGGAGGCATTGACTAGCCAGCCCTCTCCTCCTCTCTGCTGCTTGAAGCCAAAACTGCGTGGGGTGGAGATAGGAGGGCAAAGCAGACCCAAGGCATGCGGAGGAGCCCCCTCCCCGCCTGAGTTCTAGTTCCCTTCTGAAGAAGAGGATGAGGTTGATGTGGAGGGGTGGCGGTCAGGGAAGGGCTAACATAGCGAGAGAGAGAAAGAGAGAGGGATAGGGGTTCTAAGATATGAGATACTTGGGGGTAGAGAAAAAAGGAGCTGTTTCGGGGGATGTGAGTGGGAGTCAGGAAGCAGGTGATACTTGTCAATCCAGAATCACATTTTCTCCATCAAGTGGCTACATGTGTGTTCTGTACGAAGGCGAGCTCCTCTGTGGATCAGTCACCCCGATTGTGTTTCCAACCCCTTCCCCTGCCTGTCTCCCTGTGGCTGTTGCAATCTTGGCGAAGGCCCTGGACTCTGCTGCCGTGCTGCTCATCAGTGTGTGGGTCATCAGCTTCTCCCTCATGAAGAATTTTGTCTGTCCTACTCTAGTCCTAGCCCTGCCTCTGCCTCCTGCCCAGATCCCATTTTGGCCCTTTGCACTGGGAAGCCTGAAGTGCTCCATATCAAAAGTCCCTTGGTAGAAAAATGCCTCCTTCTGCCCATTTGAGCAACTGGGTTCTCAGAGCCACAGAAGGAGGTGTAGAATGGGGGCTCACAAGATGCTCTGAAAGGGGAGCAACTTTCCTTTTTTCCATGATCTCTGCTGGGGCAAGAGAATGAGGGATCAAAACGTTAGTGGCTCAGACAGCTTGTTATAAGCACAAAAGAGCACCCAGAATTCCATGGACTATTCCCCACTGGGCTCCCCACTCTTAGGGTGCCCTTAGGCACATATTATGACCTCTTTGGGTCTCAGTGTCATTATCCATCACACGAGAAGGGCTTGGACAAGATGGTGTCTGCTGGTTTACTTGCTCTGACATGAGTGTGAGAGTCTATGGACCCCAAGGTCAGGGAGTGTCATGGGTCAGAAGGGGAGGGATTCTCCGTCCTGGCAGCTGGGTACCCCCTATGGATGCTGGGTGTGGTGTGATTTGCCCGCCATCCTCCATCTCTGCCATCCCCCTTAGGGCAGCCCTGCACCCCTCCTAGTGAACCCCGAGGCCCTGGAGCCCAGCCTCTCGGTGAGTGCGTCACTGGTTGGCTCAGTCCTGAACCATTGATCTGGGCAAAATGAGCAGCTGGGTTTGGCCTGATATGATTGGAAGCAATGGGAGGGAAGTGGCCTCTTCGGGGTCAGCCTGTCCCCATCTGTGGCAAAGATGTGCCCTGGGGTATGCTTGGGCTCTCCCACTCTGTGGGAATTGGCAGGGGGAGGTGGTGGGTTGACCAAGGGGCCCATGGCTGGGAGGGCAGGTGACACTGAGGGAGCTGCCCGTGTCTTCCCTAGGTCAACGGCAGCGATGGAATGTTCAAATACGAGGAGATAGTACTTGAGAGGGTGAGTGTGCCGGTACACAGGGGGTAAGGACTGAAGAGAAGCTTGGAGCCAGAGGATGGGGGTGGGCCTTGAACCTTGGTTTTCAGGCTTGTGGGGGACCTGTTTGAAAGGATGGGGAAACAGCAGCCCTCTGAGGCTGCATCGCTGTGTCGATCAATCAAGCGCTAACAAATATTAATTGACCTTGCTCGCTGAGGCCTGGGGAATTGGGGGTGAGGGGAGATGGGTTTCCTGAGGTCTCCTGGCCAGAATGGCCCCAGCCTGCCTTGACAGGCTCTAGCCTGCCATGGCTCCTTCTCTGGCTCAAAGACCCTGCTTTGAAGTGTAAGGGGACTTGGAATGCCCCAAACCCTCCTTTGTGCCCTCAGTTTGAACAGACTGTGCCCTTCCACTCCCTTCTGCAGGGCAATTCTGGCCTGGGCTTCAGTATTGCAGGTGGCATCGACAACCCGCATGTCCCCGATGACCCTGGCATCTTTATTACCAAGATCATCCCTGGGGGAGCAGCCGCCATGGACGGGAGGCTGGGGTGAGATGGCCTGGAAGCAGAGCTGTGGGTGGCACGGCAGGAAGGAGATGAGGGGAAGAGGACTGGCTTGATAGGATGATCCTTGCCTTAAATCTCCAAATGGGGAGAGTGGAGAGGAGGGGGGCCGGGGAGGAAACAAAGGGGTGGGAGAGGGGGAGGGGGGGAGGGGTGGTGGCACAGTGTCACGCCTCTTGGGTTTTCTTTCAGGGTGAACGACTGTGTGCTGCGGGTGAATGAGGTGGACGTGTCAGAGGTGGTCCACAGCCGGGCTGTTGAGGCGCTGAAGGAGGCAGGCCCCGTGGTGCGGTTGGTGGTGCGGAGGCGACAGCCCCCGCCTGAGACCATCATGGAGGTCAACCTACTCAAAGGACCCAAAGGTGCGGCCCTCCAGCTTCCTGCTGCTCTAGTCAGAGCCCCTGGCCCCAGGTCCCAGTTGGCCCTGTAGGGAACTGGAGGGGAAAGGCCCAATTCCTAGCCTGACACCTGCAGTTCCAGCTCATGCCTCTCTTTCTTGACCTGGGATTTGCCCCCTGACTGAGTTCAGGATGGCAGCCTGTGCTTGGGGATCCCTGGGAGGAACTGCAGAACCAGCAGGTGAGATGTGACCTTGAATTAAGTGCTCTAACCTTTCTTTGTGGCTCTCTCCCACTTCTCTGCTGGCTTCTAAGCAGGCCTGGGTTTCAGCATTGCTGGGGGCATTGGCAACCAGCACATCCCAGGAGACAACAGCATCTATATCACCAAGATCATCGAGGGCGGAGCTGCTCAGAAGGATGGACGCCTACAGATCGGGGACCGGCTGCTGGCGGTGAGACAGATCCACAGGGATGGCCAAATGCCGGGGTGGGGAGGAGGAGTTCCAGCACCCTCTCACTCTATGGAAACCTCACTCAGGGCTGAGGCATCATGGGAGATTCAGGAATTGTGGTGCCCCAGATATCAAGGCCCTGGTCTTGGCTAGGGGCCCTTCATGCATGCCATACTCCTACCTACTGCTTCTCTGTTCTTTGTAGCACTACCCTTGGAGCTCTGTTGGATCTCTTGGCAAAGGCCTCCCTCCAGGTTAACCCCTGGGCAGGCTTCCCTTCTCCCAGGGCCCTGCTCTGAGGCCTTCTCCTCTTCTAGGTGAACAACACCAATCTGCAGGACGTGAGGCATGAGGAAGCTGTGGCCTCACTGAAGAACACATCTGATATGGTCTACCTGAAGGTGGCCAAGCCAGGCAGCATCCACCTCAACGACATGTACGCTCCCCCCGACTACGCCAGCAGTACGTACCCATTGGCCACCCTCCACTCCCTCGCTCCTGCCCTGAAGCTCTGCCCTTCCCCGCAGCCCCCCCCCCAAAAAAAACCCTGGGGTTTCTGGAAGGGGAGAAGCTCAGCTCAAACCCCTCAGAGAGAGCAAGGGCAAAGGAGAGTTGGTCAGAGGAGCCCAGATTTAGGTACCTTGGACAAGTCCCCTTCCCCTGCCTTGGCGTTCTTCTTTGGCAAGAAGGTGCTAAGGACATAGACACACGTGTTGCCTTCCTCACAGGACTGGTACAATGATCAAATGAGATCATGGCAGAGAAAACCCTTGGAACACTGTATTAGGCTATAGAGATGTGAGAGATTATTAGTCACACCTGTAGTCATGCTTTTCTTTGTAGACTGCCTTGACTTCAACCTTTTCGAAGCGTCACAGGAGTGAGCCCAGCATTTAGAAAGGGGTTGCGGAGGAGGAACACTGGGGGGTGGATGGAGTGGGGAGGAGTGGTGTGAGGAATCAGTGGCATCCTGGGGTCTTTTGTGCACCTGAGGTGTTAGGGGGTGGTGAGGGGTGGTGGTGCTAAGTCCTTGGAAGGGCTCAGGGAAGGGTACCCAACTGGATCGGTGTCTGACTGTTTATTCTCTCCCCCTTGTTTGTAGCTTTTACTGCCTTGGCTGACAACCATATAAGCCATAATTCTAGCCTGGGTTATCTAGGGGCTGTGGAGAGCAAGGTCAGCTACCCTGCTCCCCCCCAGGTTCCGCCCACCCGCTACTCGCCTATCCCCAGGCACATGCTGGCGGAGGAGGATTTCACCAGGTAAGCCCCTCGCCCTGTTTGTCTTACGCAGGTCAGGGGGTGGGGGTGGGTGGGGAAGAAAGCCATTTGTGGTTGGCTATGGGCCTCTTTGTGGCATGGCCATGAAGAGCCTAGGTCTGGCCCTCCCTCTCTCTGGCCTCCGCTGGAGAGGTGCAGAGGTGGCTGCAGGAGCCAGTTCGGCCATTAGGGGGAGTGCTAAGTGAGCAGCCCCGGTGGGGAAGTGCCGCTAAAGCGTGGGGTGGAACGTTTAAGGGGCTCAGGATGGTGTGGGCTGCTAGCCTTCCTGCTCTGCAGTAGTTACAGCCCCCTCCCCTCTGCGAATTAGTGAAGAAACTAGGGCTGCCACCCAGGACAGGCGGAAGTGGGAGGGGTGGGGGTACGGTCCGCCCCCACCTTAACACCCCCCACACACCTGCCTCTGCCGTAGCCTACCTTGAAACTGGTCGGGCCGGCTGGGGTTCCAGGGGGACAGGTTTGCGGGGTGGGGCCTGGTAGGCTGCTGGGCAAGCTGCCGTGGAGCCGGAAGGGTAGGAGGACTGGGTAGAGTCAGAGGAGCCATGGAGAGAACCCGAAAGTTCTCAGGCTCCGGCTTGACCCTGGGCTTGGGCTCGGCTTCCGCTTCGGCCTGGAGGAGGGCTTCGCAGAGATGGGCCTGGCCGCTTCGCTCCCTGCGGCCTGGAGGGGATGTCAGGTATGAGTGAAGGGCCCTGAGCAAGAAGATCAGGGACTCTGGGAGGAAGCCCGGCATCTGAGACTGCGCGCGAGCGCGATATAGGAAGCGTGTGGCTTGAGGCTGCGGTTCCTGGAGGAATGATGCATGTGCTGGGGGACTGGGAGGGGAGGGGAGGGGAGGGGAGGGAGGGGGATTTGGATGGACACCACTGGCGGTTGTTTGGCGTCCGCCACTCGGAGAGCGCTTCTTTAAGTTCTTGTCTCCTCTTTGCAGTCCAGCCCCTAAACTCCTTTTAGGGGAGCTAGGGTGTCTTTCTGCCTCCCACATCAGCTAGCAGGGATGCATGGTAGCAGCTGCCGACTAAATATGCTGCTGCTGAAGGCGGAACGGGTCAGAGTCGATGGGGGTGGCAGTGGGGGAATGCAGGGTGTACGTCTTGGGGATGGTGAGCACCATTCGGCCCCCAAGGCGGCTCCGCCGACGCTAACTGCTTCCTTTGCCTTGTGGCCCAGGGTCCATCACACTGGTTGGTAGGGTAGGAGGACGTGGGGGGCGGGGGTGCAATAGGACCCGGGATATTTGGCCACTAGAGTTCAGGGTAGAGGTTTGTCCATTGGAAAGTTGACTCCAAGCCCTGGGGAAGAAGGGAGGGAAGAGGAACTGAAACTTGGCACTTGCCAGAAAATAGCAGCCAAGCCGGTTTTGGGAGATGGAGGGAGGAACAGGGTATCACGTCCAGGGACGTCAGCCCTGCCTCCCTGCAGCTGGTATGCCTTGTTCTACCTTGGCTCGCACGGAGACAACAAACACTTGCTATTGTGCTCCTCCTGACCCCTCCGCTTGTTTCCCACCAGAGAGCCCCGCAAGATCATCCTGCACAAGGGCTCCACAGGCCTGGGCTTCAACATCGTGGGAGGAGAGGATGGGGAAGGCATCTTTGTCTCCTTCATACTGGCAGGAGGCCCAGCCGACCTGAGTGGGGAGCTGCGCAGGGGAGACCGGATCTTATCGGTGAGCAGACAAATGCAAGGTGGGAGGATGGGAGCGGTGCCAGTCTCGAAAGACGGAGGCGAGACCTTGCTTCCTGTGGGGAAATGCTTCTGGAGATGCGAGAGAGGGGCTGAGGAGTGGAGAAGCCTGCTTTTGTCTTTATTGGATGGCCTCAGTGAGGGTGAGGGACTAAAGGCCCCCCTCCCCCCCCCTTACTCTCAAGGGGGGATGTCTCTTGGATGTCAATCCCGATCGGCCTTTGACCTCCACAAGGATAGTTACTACACTAGAGAGGTCATATCCTTTAGGCCTTGTATTCTGGGAAAAGATGGAATATTAGAGAAAGGATTTCAGTAGGCGCAGGGATGGGCTATGGATCTCTCTCTCTCTGCTAAATGCTAGCACAGAAAGCTCGTTTCCCTTTGTGCTTTTGGGGTAACTCAACCGCTCCTCTCTTTGGACAGGTGAATGGAGTGAACTTGAGGAACGCAACTCATGAACAGGCCGCAGCTGCTCTGAAACGAGCTGGCCAGTCAGTCACCATTGTGGCCCAGTACAGACCTGAAGGTAGGAGAAGGGAAGGTGGAGAGAGGATGGTGTGGGCAGCTCGCTAAGTGCTGTCCTTTGGCCATCATAGATAACAGAGCCACTTGAGCAGCTCCATCGTGCCCTTGGTCAGTAACCTCCTATCTCCCGTTCATTCTGGACCGTGGCACGAGGAGAGGGTTGGCTTTGGGGCGGCCTGGAAGCATCAACCCCAGGCTGTGCTCTGAGCCTGTGCATCGGTGCTGCAATGCAACACAGCGCCGGTAGTAGGCAGCAGCCCTTGGGAAGAAGCAAAGCGAACTGGGCAACTGGAAAAGGGGAGGAGGAGACACGGAGGGGCTCAGAGACGGAGAGAGGAACCGCGTTCCCTGGAAAAGCAGAGTGGCTTTCGGGTCACTGGGAGAGGAGGGGAGGTCCGACCTTTTCGGGGATCTCAGCTCAGGCCTCTAAGACGTCCCCCCCCCCTCAGGCCCCTCCCCTCATGCAGATGTTTGCTAAAGCCCGAGGAAGGCGTCAGAAAGGTGTTACAAAGCCCTTAAGGCGGGGGGCGGAGGGGGGACCGCACGGCGACCCCTCCCCTCTCGGGGGGCCTTCTTTGTAGTCTCCAGGAGCAGTCCTGGGGCGGAGGGAGAATGGGCGGAGCTGGCCATGGAAATGAAGGCTTTTGATTGGCTGCAGCCAGCCAAGGCCCAGGTGCCGAGGTGAGCTGCGGAAGGCGCGCCCTAGCCTGCCTGCCGGCGTGCTGACCATTGGCCGGCCGCGGAGGGCCTGCAGCCGCACGCCCCGCCCCCTGACCCGGGCCCTGGGCGCCGGGCGCCCCTCCTTCCCCCCCCTCGCGCGCCTCAGGCGTCTCCTCCTCCTCCTCCTCCTCCTCCCTCCCCTCCCCCGCCGCCCACCTCCTCTCCTCCCGCGCGCCCCGCTTTGTGTCCGTGGTCTCCCGCGCGGGACGGAGGGACCGGCCGGAGCGGGCGCTTTCGCAGCCTTAGACCTGGACTCCCATCCGGCGCCAGGTGAGGTGGGGACGGACTGCGGTGAAGTCCCCTCATAGTCCCCCTTAGCCTCTCTACGGTTCTGCTCTCAGCTCCTTTTCCAACACTGCTTTACCCCCCAACTCTGTGTTCTCCCTCGAAAGTCTCAGCCCTCATCCTGAGTCCCTTCCGAGGGCTCCTTCTCGGGCCCACCCTTCCTCGTCGGGGTTCTTGGCTGGCCTTCTCTTTTGCCATCAGTCCTGCCCACCCGCCAGCTGTGCCCCCTTCTCACCGCAGGACCGCAAGCTCTGCCCGCAGGCTCCTTCCCGCTGCCCACTGCGCCCGCAGCACCTCCCTGGTCCTTTTCCTTGGAGACATTGGCCAAGCCTTCCCTTCCCCCCACACCCGACCAGCCTAACCTCTGGGCACAGGGTGCCCGCAGAACCCCCCCTGACTTTTGTTGGCCAGCCTTTCCCGACTTCTTTGGCCCCTGCCCCTCTGGTAGCCTTCCCTTTGTCGCTTAGGACTGCAGTGCCGGTCCCGGGTCCACCAAGGCCAGGCGGGCCACTTCCCACGGTGGAGGAAGCGAACCCTCCTGGGCGGGCAGGTGTTCTAGTTCCGTGAGCAGAAGGGGAGAGGCTGGGAGCGCAGTGGCCTGGCAGCTAGGGACGCGAGCGCCTACCTTTGTCCTTTCCACCCCCACCCCCTCCCGTGCCGGATCCAGAGCCCAGAAGCCAGAGGACTGCCACCTTCCTGCACGAGGGGCTTTGCAAGCACTGCAGAAGTGGAGGGAAGTCGCTAGCAGCAGGGCTTGTGGGGCTGAGGTAAATGGGGAAGAGGGACAGAAATGCTGACTTGGAGCACTCCCTGTGTTTGGGCTTCAGTTGCCTGACAGGGACGGAACCTTAGGGTTTCTCTCTCTCTCTCTCTTTTTTTATGATTTACATGCGCGCCCTTTACTTCTCTGTAGAGCGGAAGCGGCTGATTTTTATTAGTAGCTAATATTTATCCGTTTCGTGCCTTCAGCCTAAACAACATAGGTTGTGCAAAGGAAATGGTTTCTCTTGCATATTTGTGTATGTGTGCGTGCGTAGTGGGGGGAGAAATTGCTGCTTCTTTCGGTTTTGCTCTCTGATGTGGCCCACATGGAAACAATACTGCGAATTTGTCTGGTGGTGGTATGTTGCAAACTGGTGACTACGTGTTTCTGTGACTTTGGTTGGGGGAATGCAACTGGTCTGTGCAACAAGCTCTAAGTTACCCAGGGTGAAAGGGTTCCTGGGCTGTTTATTGCTCTCTGTTTCTGAGAGTTTGGAATGGAGACTCGTGCTGTCTCCTGTTAGATCTTTCTACAACAGGCATTTCTTCTCTTAAGGCTTAGTTGAGCCACTATTGTTAAGGTTCCACCACTCCAGTCTTATTTCTTTCTTCGGTTTTGTAAGCTCAACAGGGCCTCAGCAGGCAAAAGCTTTTATTTTTTTTTCTATTGGAAAATGAACCCTTGGAGACTGGTCCAGAGAGACTATCAAGCATTCCTTGTTGGGCTCTGCATTTCCTTTGATAAAGTGCTAGGTTTTAAAACTACGGACTCCATGTTGATCGTTTTATAAATGTATTCAATACAGTTCTTTGGAGGATTGCGTCGCAGTGGGTGTTTGCAAAAGGAATGATCCAAATATGTCTGTTGGTAAAATTGGTGAGGATGGCATGTTATTGGCCAAGCGAAGTGTTCATTATTGACATTTTTTCCACATAGAATGTGGGAGCTGGAAGAGATGACATAGCCCAATCCCTCATTGTATAAACTGGAGAGCTACACCAGAGCCAGGACATGACTCGCGTAAGGTCATGAAGGGAAACTTGGCCAAGGGTCAGCAATACATTGCATCCTCAGGTCTACCAGTTGAGATTAACTGTGGTTGTGGACACCAGAGAGACCCGCAACTTGGTTGAGAGTGGATGACCAGCAGGAAGGAAACCAAGGAAAGATTGTAGAAAAGAAAGGTAGAGGTGGACGGAAGGTTAGCATGCTCTTCTCAGTGGCTACTGTGGCTTTAGCAAGAAACAGTAAAATGTAGCCTTCACCAATCAGGGTAAGGACATTTTTCCTCTTTGAAAGCTTCCTTGAGCTCACGTGAACTCACATACCATGCAGCTCCTCATTTAGGTTTGCAGTTCAGTGATATGGAGTTGTGTCTCCACCTTCCTGGTCCATTTTGGGACGTTTTCAGAGCCTCTCCTGTGGCTGCATGTAGGGGAAGTTAAGGCGTTACAAGGGTGATAGGTTTAGGACAGTCACTTCTTAATATATCTCTCTGGAATCTTAAGTACTGGATAGCAACCCAGGAATATGCCAACCTCGAGAGTCCTTCATAGATCTGGTTTACTTCATGTGGTTAAGCCCACAATGAAGTCAAGAAACCTTGTCTTTCTATTTGATCTTTGTACCACGCATAGCGTAAGTGCTCTATGAATGTTTTTATGATGAAGCTTTGGGATATAATCCAATAGAAACAAAACTACCAGGGTCACTGTTGCGGCTCAACTGGCTAATCCTTCACCTCCAAGTGCCACATTCTATATGGACACCAGTTTGTTTGCTAGCTGCTCCACTTCTGATCTAGTTCGGTCTTGTGGCCTGAGAAAGCAGTAGAAGATGGCCCAAGTCCTTGGACCCCTGCTCCCATGTGGGAGGCTTAATAGAAGCTCCTGGCTCCTTCTTCAGATCTCCTCAGCTCTGGCTGTTGTGGCCATTTGAGGAGTGAACCAGCGGATGGAAGATCTATCTTTGTGTCTTGCCTTCTCTCCATAAATCTGCCTTTCTAGTAAAAATAAAACATACTAAATGATAAGGTACCACAGTGAGAGACGCTGCTTAATAGTTTCATTCCTGATTGCTCCAAACTGTGTGGACACAGAAATCCTACCTATTAGCTAAAAATAGCAGGATGTTCTTGGGCATGTATAATCCTGCTTAAAATTCAAATTGAAAATTTCAACAACTGCCTCTCATCAAAAGTACTCTTCCGGTCTATTAAAATGAAAAGTATCTTTCTGTGACTCGTAGAATTGTTCCATTAAGAAAAGGGGATGGCTTTGTATTATAACATTTGAAGATCTCCTCCATCTCTCCCCCGCCTTACTTTGTGTCAGTCTCTGGTTATAAACTGACGAGGTGTTTTTCTGGAAAGCTCTTTTGTTTTTAGAATAGAACCTGATCTCAAAATCAGGAAATGAGCCAGAAATTGGTCACTAAGGTAGTTAAACTGGGAACCGATCCTTTGTGACCAGACTTTTCAACTGGAATGTAAATCCAGATGAGATTTTTTTTCCCATAGCTTTAAAGTGCCAAACAAGCATACTTTCACCATGGAAATACCTTTGGGAAAGGCCTGGAAGAGTTAGGGGATCAGTGCTGACTGTGACTTGAAAACATACAGGTGGTGTTTGCCCTACAACATCTGGGTAACCGAGCCATTTGTCCCTGTTTGAGAATGAAGCCTGTAAAGGTAGTCGCTACCGTATTGTCAGGCTCTCTGGAGAGCATAGGAGTGAAAATACACTAAGGCAAAGCAGCAAAGTTCTGATGAGGGTTGGAAGTGGGGGAGAAATAACGTGAGTTCCTATTAACAGCTGGGCACTGTGGGCAATTTTTTAGAAGAATTATTTAACTTGAAAATCGGTGTTACAGAGAAGAGGGAGAGATCTTCTATTGGTTCATTCTCCAAATGGCTACAGTGACCAGAGCTGAGCTGGTCCAAAGCCAGGAGACTTCTGGGTCTCCCATGTGGGTGCAGGGTCCCAAGGACTTGGGCCATCTTGCTCTACTTTTCCTGTTAGCAGGGAACCAGGTGGGTAGTAGAACAGCTGGCACATGAACTGGCACGCATTTGGGATGCCATGGTCCCAGTACGTGAAACCAGAGGATTAGCCTGTTACACCAGTGCGTCAGTCCCACTGTGAGCAATTTTTAAAGTGCTGTTGCATTCATCTTTGCATCTCTAGCACCTCATCAGGAGCCTGGTACACGGTTTATTGAGTATCTCCATGTGC